GTTTCGACCATAACACAAACGGTCGTGATCAGGTGCGTCGGTTTGCATTAATTAATTTATTTAAAAATATATTTTATTGTTTCCCTTCAACGTGACTTTACCGAAAGAGCTTAGAATATGAAATACAAAACGTGTCGTAACTCGCGGTCAAAGTGCGCCATCTAATGGGGAAATGGGGGCATTACAGGATAAAGGTAAAATTTAATTTAACAATAATAATATTTGGACAAGTTCGGCGGGCCGGATTATAAAGCCCAACGGGCTGTAGAAGGCCCGGGGGCCGTACTTTGCCCACGTCTGAGCTAGACACAACTCTTTCACCATACGGCAGGATTCCTCACGTTGGCTATTAGGCCACGTGACATCACGCACGTTATCTCTGTCTTGGGGGAGCTTGGCTGCAATCTCGCTTTATCTCTTATCTCCAGCTATTTAACAACAAAAAAACACTCAGTGGGACACTCCAAGAGCATTTGACTTACAGCCCACCGGTTGCGCATTTACTTACCGTGACAATGTGTGTTTCCCTCAAGTTTAGTTCAAATAAATGTTTAACGAGGTGAGAACTCAAGGGGCCAGGATAGTCTCATTATTCAAAATCGATCCCCCGAGTCCAAGGTTGACAAAAGAGTAAGCAACAAAGAAAGTACAGAAATTATCAAATAAAAAATCGGAAGAAAAAACAACAACAGCCGCCATTCACCGCTCCGCCACTAACTGGTGGTAATGTCACCAAATAGCTTGCGCCTTTGAATCCATGGTGCCCGTTTCGAAGGCAAGAGGTCATTGGACAGGCCCAGATCATTGTGGGTTAACTGACAGAGGTAAATGGCAGATGCACGGCCTGTGAGCCACACTGTGCCAACTTGTGTGTTTTAGCCGCCCACTGCTCCACTCTCGAGCGTCGCTCCTCCACCCTACATTGATGCTTGCAGAGAGACTGCCTCTAACTGCCCAGTAGCATCCTTCATGAGCCTCCTCCACAGAGGCCGATTTTGACAACACTGGTACCAATCCTTGGCAAGTCCAATCAGCTTTATATTCTCCTGTACCACAGCAGCCCCTGTGTTCTGTAGCTTGTACCATGACCATTCAAGTCCCTTCTTTCTGGCTAGACAGAAACTGATTGGGCATGCGGTGGCTGGGCATGTGGGCTATGTGTCCCAGCTAACACACAGTCTAGCCTCATTGAGGAAGTCACTGGCGTGACTTTGTCCAGATCTTTCAAGAACATGTGAGTTCCTCACAACACAGCCTGGTTAAACGCAGGGTGGATTGGAGGAAGGCCAGCCTGAATGTTTCAAACCGATGCAAAATGTTCCTTTAAATGTGTTCAGTTCCACGAAAACAAAACACGATCATATGAGGAATTGAAAACATTTCCCTCCATTATTGCTTGTAAAATTGCCCTTTCGCCCCCCCCCCTCCCCCCACTGTAGGTGTCTCAGGTGTGCGATGCTTTCCGCTCCTCCGTCATGTCACGTCACGAAGGCTACAATATCCGCTTGACCATGCAGTTTGGGGAAATGGCGACGGTGCTGCAACAAGCTCGACAACAAGAGGTAGCCCTCGCCACCTCGTGGCAAGCCCTGGACTCAATCATGCAGTTACAACAGAGGCCCTAGAGGGCGTCAGTAATGGTCGTGTCAGACATGAGCCCTGGGGTGTTTATTTACAGAGAGAAAAAGCAACGTAGGAAGTTCACAACGCCCATGGCGGATTAACAACGGATTTGTTGGTAAAGTCACGTAAAATAGAAATAATAATAATAAAAGGAAATGAATAAAAAAAACCTACGACGTTTCAATCGCAGCGCAAGCGGCGGTCGTCATCAGGGTTCATATTGGCCATGCCATGTTCTGACTGAGTTCGTACCGGATTGAGGCTTCACTTGAGCCTAACGAGGTGCAGAGTAATGGGAGAAAACTGGCAGAGGAAAAAAAACCCTATAGAGGAATCGAGCCGGAGGACTCCACCATCTGTGGAGGTGCAGATGTGCGTGTTTGGCAGGGGGGATTACACGAGACCAGCACTTGAAACATTCATATGCCAGGTTCCAAAACTTAAATACAAATTGTTGGCTAATCCTTCAAGCACAACATCTAAACATGATCCTGGCCCACTCAGTTTTTATAATTGTCAAGTTAAAGTTGATGTCCTGCTTAAATGTTCAATGGTGTTGTGTTTACAGCCCTTAGCCAGTGTTAGAAATGTCACATTTCAATGATGGGTGTGAGTCGACCCATAGGACAACCACTGTTTACTTCCCTACTTAGTAGTACTAATTGTATTGGCCCTTGAGGGCTCATAGGCTGAGTCAACCCCCAACCTTAGGATTTTATTGGTTTTTAATAAGCTATTAATTCCAAAATTGGATGTTATAAATTTGAGCGCTTTTCAGATTTGTTGCATAGATAGTATGAGTTTTCAGATTTTAGTTAGACCTTTTCGGCAATGTTAATTGTAGAATGTTGTGAAATGTATTCTAATATATTCTTAGCTGTTACTGCAACTGCTTTTAAAATTGCTTTGTACTTGCTGTGCTTTCGTGATGTTTCATGAGTGTTGACCCAGGGCTCACTGAAATAAAATACATCGAGACTCTGGGCTTACACTTGGTTATAAAGTTAATACTGGTAGGAACCTCCTGGTTATTACACCACCAGCCCACAGGGGATTATTGTTGTGTCCGTCCGTCGTGACATCCAAAAATGGGAGGGGTGGGGCTGGGTGGAGAGGGGAGGGTGGGGAGGGGCTGGGTGGGGAGGGTGAGGAGGGGCTGGGTGGGGAGGGGCTGGGTGGGGTGGGTGTGGCTGGGTGGGGAGGGGAGGGTGGGGAGGGAGGATGGGGAGGGTGGGTGGGGAGGGGCTGAGTGGGGAGGGGTGGGGCTGGGTGGGGAGGGGCTGGTCACCCCGTGGTGCCCTTATAAAACTCAACGTTTCACCTACTCACGCCGGCTTGCGCCCGCCCTCACAGTCGGGCGTATTGTGCTGAATGCACCACGTGGTGGTGCCGCCATTGTTGACCCTGGCCATTGACTGAGCAGCCCAACGTCCCTACAACCAGCTCCCTCCCTCCGCAGGAGAATGTGTTATGTTATCTTATGGTTGTGCCTCTACGTGCCTTTGGCCTTGCTTTACATACCCTTTAACGCTCTAAACATTGGGCCTCGCTCTTTGGTTCTTTAGTTAAAGTCACGTGGTAGGTATAAAATAAATTAAATCCGCGACGTTTCGGGCGCAACGCAACAAGCGTCCGCCGTCAGGTGGGACAACCACAGCAAGAAAACAATTGCTGAAGTGGGCAAAAGGGCTGCTGTGACAAGAGGCTATGTAGGTAAGAGAGGGGTTCAGGAGCCAGGGAGGAGAGAGTGGAGGGTGTGGAGTAGGGGCAGTGGAGTGCTGCAAGTGAGTCACATCTAGATTGGGTCTTGCGTTTCATTATCAAGTTACATTTTCCGAAAGCGCACCAACCTGCTCTCATCCGCTTATTTTGTAAGTTTGATCCCAGGCGGCCTTCAGTTTTTTGCGTGCCTCTTATGGCAGCCAGGATGCGTTCTTGATAAACGGAACACTTCGTGAAACAGCGCTGTAGGAGGTCATCATAACATGCTTCCAATGGAGATGCATTACCGAATGAGCATTGGTTTTCCTCTGACCAAATATGAGCACTTTATTGGGGTATCAGTACCCGCCTTAATTACGATACTGTGCACATGATAAATGTTTAGAGTTTTTATATGTATTTAAAACAAGTTCAATGGTTAAAGACGTAAGAGTTATTCCTGTACATGTGTAGTGGGTTCTTTAAGACAGCGTAGAGACGAATCGGTAGAGGCAATGCTTATTTATTACAAAGGTGCTTAACACAATACAATACAGCCTTCTACTTGAAGGGGTAACGGCCCCTTCACCCGCTGCTAGCTGAGGAGGTACGGCTTCGGTCTAACTCGCCCTATTCCTGGGCTAGGGTCTCGGGGTCCTCCGGCTAAGGGGGTCCTAGGGGAGGCTAGTCTGACCTGACCCAGCCAAGGTACAGGTCTTGACCACTGGCCACACGGGACCCGTCCCTGATAAGCCACCCACACAGACACACAGTCACTCACCTAGCCACCCACACACTCAGTCACTCACTCACCTAGCCACCCACACAGTCACTCACCTAGCCACCCACACACTCAGTCATTCACTCACCTAGCCACCCACACACTCAGTCATTCACTCACCTAGCCACACACACACACACACAGTCACTCATTCACCTAGCCACCCACACACTCACTCACCTAGCCACCCACACAGACACAGTCACTCACCTACCCACCCACACAGACACTGTCACTCATTCACTCACCTAGCCACCCACACAGTCACTCACTCACTTAGCCACCCACACAGTCACTCATTCACTCACCTAGCCACCCACACACTCAGTCACTCACTCACCTAGCCACCCACACACTCAGTCACTCACTCACCTAGCCACCCACACACTCAGTCACTCATTCACCTAGCCACCCACACACACTCATTAACACACTCACCTAGCCACCCACACACTCAGTCACTCATTCACTCAGTCACTCACTTAGCCACCCACACACTCATTCACTCAGTCACTCACCTAGCCACCCACAGACACAGTCACTCATTCACTCAGTGACTCATCTAGCCACCCACACAGTCACTCACCTAGCCACCAACACTCAGTCACTCATCTAGCCACCCACACACTCACTCATTCACTCACTTAGCCACCCACACAGACACTTAGTCACTCATTCAGTCACTCACCTAGCCACCCACAGTCACTCACCTAGCCACCCACACAGTCACTCATTCATGCAGTCACTCACCTAGCCACCCACACATTCAGTCACTCATTCACTCAGTCACTCACCTAGCCACCCACACACTCATTCACTCACCTAGCCACCCACACACTCAGTCACTCACCTAGCCACCCACACAGTCACTCACCTACCCTATGCCCAACTTCCTTCATGTCTCCACGCTCATGTTCAATCGATTCCAGTTCGATGTCAAACATGCATCTCTCCATACTTTTATTTTCAAACACTGTTCTATTTTCTCTTGGGGTTTATATTTGCAAGCGTATTAACCTGCTAAATACACGCACTGTACAGAATGGCAACCCATGTTTTTCAATGGGATTTTCAATGAGTCGGGGTATATTTTTACCAGCCCCCCCCCAAAAGGGTCTCTTTGGCATTTATTTCAGAGCTCTCCGTTATGAAATTAAATGGGCATATTAGTGCCATGGGCTACAGCAAGAAAGGAGCATCACTCGTGGTGGGAGCAAAAACTTTGGCTATGAGCAAGTTGAGAACCCCCCCAAATTGTAAATTAATTGGAGCCGCTAAAGTTACGGCACCCGAGGACTGCCAAGTGAAATCTGGTTTGGGGCTCATGGACAAAATAGCAATGCACACGGCAGACAAACTCGGCAGGTTAAGGAGACTAATCATAATTATTTTAATTTCAACATTCTTCATTTCCACTGCGACCTTTAAAATCTTTCGGTGCAGTCAATATAGAAATCTAAATTAATCCTCCAAAAAATGACAACTAAAATGTAAACGCGTCAAATTGCACTTTCGACCTATACCCACGGTTAACTTTCAACAAGAGTGATGGGACATTCACAAATAGTACACAAAGTGACAATGATGTTGACACCGACGTTCAATACGGCATGAAACATGTTGAGTTGTCTTCTATGAAGGCTGGGCAGTGGAGAAGCACAGTTTGAGGGTGTAGAGGTATGGAACATCTGAGAAAATAAAAACAGGGGAGCCACATGACGTCTTCACTGGAGCACACAAAAACTTAAAACAATGAAGCGATTCTTAGGAGGGTCTTTGTTGATGTCAACAAACTCGTTCAGGGAGCTAAGATAACGTTGAGTTGTGATAAGTGAAAGTGGTTGGATATGTCAACTTACAATCCCATTCTGTACATGCAAACAACAACGAAATCCAAATCGCCCATAAATAACAACCTGTTAATATATAATACAACAATCTACAACTGCTTTCACTTCCTGCAATTTCACCCAAGGCTGCTAGGCAGCCAGTGTACACAGATGGTGCTATGGTAATAACAAGCGCCCCCCCCCAAATCTGAACATTAGGTGCTCAACAGAGCGTACGACCAAAGATTTGCCGATAATGCAGCACCGCTTCAATGTCATCGCACCAACACAAATGGCCAACACCCCACAACTTACTTGCGTTCTTCAGGGGGTGATGGTTAATGCACGCCAGAGCCTCCATGGCATCGTTCTTGGTCTCCCACTCCGTCAGGCCGGACACACTCCTATCGGCTGGACACGTGGACGGACCGTCGCTCATGGAGTCATTTGGGTCGTGTAAAACGCAACGCCCTTCACCATTTTGATTCAAAGCTTTCGTGACTGCAGGGATTCATATTCTTGGTTCTTTCGGTAAAGTCACCACCACGTAGAAGGGAAACAATAAAATAATAAAAATATAAAACAATAAAATTCTCACGACGTTTCGACTGCAACACAAGCAATCATCATCAGGTGTGAAAACCACAGCAAGAAAATTTGAAAAAAGTGGCGGTTATTTTTAACGTTAGCACCACGGAGAGCGATTTGGCAGTTGTTCAGATGGACGAGTCCATCTATGTTCTGAAAAGAGGAGGGGGGAGACGAAAATAATGCATGCGGTTTGAAAGCCACCGTAAGCGTGAACAATCAATTAAGACCCGAAATGGTTTATCAAATCCTTCCAATGATTGCTAAGCCAGAATCCATCTTCTCGGTTGAAATTGTCTGTGTTTGTATATATTTATTATTTTGTTGTTTCCCTTCTATGTGACTTTACCTAAAGAACCAAGAATATGAAACCCTTTGCCGTGTTTAAAGGGTGGTGTCAGTCGTCGGTGAATTTCTGCAGCAGGAAGGCTTCAGTCCGATGCCTTGGCTACGCTAACACGGTCCAGTCAGCCTGGGCGCGAGTGAATAGCAAGGATTGCTCTCGGGAGAGAATTTCTCACAGGGTTTCTTGAGCATGGCCTCATAGCACACGTTGCAGATCATCTGGTGTCGTGCTGTAAATCAAGCGACGATTGCATGGAGAATACAGTACACGATTTATTCTGTGCCATGACACGTAAGATAAATAATAAACATACTTTGCGGGACTTACTTTTTCCAGAAAACACTTTGAAAGAGCGGGGCCTCGCAATCGACATTTCGTCGCACAGCTGCGGGGACAGAACGGGCGGCGTTCACGTTATAGTTGGTAACAGTTAACGTGCACCGGTAAAGCATTCGGGAGATGTCATTTTAATTGCAGGCACAAATCCCGTTGTCCATTTTTTAATTTACATTCGCCAGCTTTGGAGCAGTCTTTTAAAGTGCTCAGATTATTGTGAACACCAAGCATAGACTCAGGGGGAATGCAACCATTTGCAGAAACAATGTCCAAAGACTGAAATATAAACCTTTCGAATACGAATGAATATGAATCGTAATGTATTAAACAGGACAAATTAACGCGAGGTGTTGTCTAGTCTGTAACAAAAAAGTCCCTTTGGAACATCGACTGCATTATTTATACATCTTATGTTTTAACCGCTGAAAGGAAACTACATTACACCATTTTACATTTGTCCCGTCACAGGAAATGTGTCATTGGCCACCACAAACTCCACAACATCAATAGGCTCATCTTAAAAACCCACGATTGTTTCACGTGCAAACTTTGGACTTGAATATTTATAAAAGCTTCACCTGGGAAAACTTTTAAAGAAACCGAACGCGCTCCCCTTCTGCGCTGCTGGCAGCAGGCTGAAGGGGCGGCGGGGGCACGGACCTGCGCGAACATCTCGGCCGTGATGTCCGTGGGCGCGTTGAAGAAGTGCAGCACCGCGGTGGGACGCTGGTTGCGGTTCTTCGCCGCCTTCTCGCTGTTGGCGTAGCGGTAGTTGTGAGAACCTGCGTAGTCCCTGTAGCTGTCGGTGCCGTCCAGCAGCTCGAACGCCTGGCCCGGCACAATCGACCGCTGCCTCGACACGCTGCCGAGACGAGGGCGGAAGGGAGGGAATAGCGCGAAGAAACTGTTTTTATTTTATCACGTTCCAAATTTCACGTGCTCTTTTGTTCGATTCGGTAAAGTCACGTGGGTAAAAAATAAAATAACAAAAAATCACGACGTTTCGGCCACAACACAAGTGGCCTTCATCAGGTGAAGGGACCGGACTGTCCAGAGGACAGCGTTGGAGTGAAGAAAGCAAGCCCAGGTCGCGTCCTTTAAGCTTGTTGTCGCGGCATCTTTTGAGGAAGGTCAGCGTCTCGATGAGCTTTGACTTCTTGTCCCGTTGTCTGTTGAAAGCTCTAACAGATAGGTGAAAGCCCTCCCCGTAGAGCTTCAAATCTAGAATCCAAATTTCACATTCGCTATTTCAATAAAGGCCCTCCCCGTAAAGCTTCAAATCTAGAATCCAAATTTCATGTTCGCCACTTCAATAAAGGCTCTGGACAGCAAGTCACCGGGGTCCTCGTGAGCTGTGTGACAAGTGTTTCGTTCACGGTATTCATCAGCTCTCTTTTTCACCGTCCTAAAATTTAGTCACTTGCACTAAATATTTACTAAAGTTGTCTTCTCTAAATGGAAAGCAGTATCCAATTACATTAACAGGATATGACGAGTTACATTTACCAATTTAACACGGGAACAAAAAGGCTCACCAGAGGTTGATTTTATTTCCAAAGATCTGAGACATATTGAGGTGAAAAACCGCCCTGTGCACGGCGTACTGATCTCCCATCTCGACCATGGCGGCTCCCGGCTTGCTCTTCAGGAACTTAACCTACAAAAATAACAACCCGTAAGACGGTTCAGCATCGCGCAATCTTGCACGAAAATATCTACAAGTTTCGTTGTAACGCATTGTTGAAATGTGAAGTGTTGGCCGAGGGGCCATTAGAAAACATGCACAAAGAACACTTCGCATTGGGTACATTTTTGTAAAGAAAATGACCAAATGTGTATGTTGTCAATCGGTGAACAAATTTGGTCGTGTGAATCTCCCACTTTATATAACACGATCAGCGCACGACGTGCACCACACGCGTGCGTACGCATTGCACCGCGGTTGAACCTTTGGAAGAAAAAAAACGGGGACTCATTTCAAAGCAGGTGCGCGCAACACCCAGCGAAGGCACCTTCTCCACGTCGCCGAAGAGGCAGAGGATGTTAAACACGCGGTCGCAGTTGAAGCGTTCGGCGTCCAAGTCGTACACAATGAGGACCTTGTTGTCGGCCTGCTGGTTCATCATGGCCTGCACGTGCTGGCCCTGGGTACCACCCTGGGGCCCAACCTGGTTGCCCATGCCTACTCCCATGCCCATTCCTCCCCCACCGCCCATGCCGTCGCCGCCAGATCCGTAGTCGACGCCCGGTGGTGGTGGCTGCTGGTGGCCTGTGACGCAAACACACAAGAGGGGGAAACGCATCGTGAACTAGCTGAAACTCTCTAAACTTCTCTGAAAAACAGATTTATGACAGCCATCATCTTACACACGTGTGCCCTTTCCTATAAGGTCAGGTAACCCAGGAATCACCACTCTACTCCTTGGAGACACTGGAAAACATTGGTCCAGAAGACTCAGTTGCCTAGGGAATAGACTAAACTAGTTTTTATTTTAGGTTGAGGGCCACCAAGCTAGACCTCTTATTCAGCATAGCTTGTTTTAAATACCCAATACATCTGATAGCTATTGGAAATATCGTCTCTTAAAACACAAAGCAACTCATACGTTGCAATTGTTAATCGCAAAAAAAGGTTTTTAGGATGCACCTTAACACTAATTCCAAATAAGAAATGTTCTCAACAGGCAGCAGGTTCTTTCAATCTGACAGCAAGCTGAAGGAAACCGAAATTATAGCATTCGCAACAAGGGGATTACCTCCACAGTCGCCACCACCGCAAGCGTGTGCTTTGGGATGGTCGCCAAGGAGAGACGTTTGCTTCGCTGGCATCACTGCATTGTCCTCTGAAAACAACAAAAAAACGATCACCAAATTCACCCACGGGAAACATAAGCGCTCATTGCTGCACAAAATAAGGACAATCCAAAAAATGCATTCTGCACCCAGAACATTCACATGACCAACACATTAAGAAATTCCGGGCACACTCCACACGGGGGCGCGCTGCGTCTGTCGATAAAAACAATTGGCGGTATTTTTAAAATGCAGATTTCACACGGTGCAACATAAATAACGAGCACCATACAAAATACAGCGCGTAAAGAAACGCTCATCGCAAGAAGAAGAAAAAACAAAATTTATTGGAGGTGTACAGATGCACGCGACAAATTGTTCCGAGGTGCGGCGTCAGCGAGTGTCCGTGGTTGCCGCCTGCGATGCCCGCTCGTTTCTTACCCAGTCTACACTTCGACGGGAACACAAAGTTGCCCAGAGTTGGGCAGCGGCTGACAACCCATCGCGAGGAGGATGCAACAGAAAGGCCGGCGCCTTCTTTCCTGCGCCAACAGCAGTCACGCTCGGCACAAATGGACCCCCCCGCGTTGTCCGTGCCACCGCACCTCTCGCTCTCCGGCGACCCTTTTTGGTTTGGGGCTTAAAATTGGGACACTTAAGTGGGCGACGGGGCCTTACAAACCTTTAAAATGAAAAAGATCGCCGCTTATAAACCGATGCGAAATGCGTTGTGTCTGGCATCTGCAATGTCAAAAGCCTCGTTTGCAAACAAAACTTTAGCAAGGCAGTCTAAACGTACGAGCGTCGAGGTAAATTCTCACCAACGGAGCGATTTTAAGCCCCAAACGCATCGGCACGCGTTCCGTTCGGCTTATTTCCAAGTCCCGTTCGCGGTGAATGCGGGCTTTCGTCGCTCCCGGCTTCTTCGCGGTGGTGCCGGTGCTTTGCCGGTCTGTCAGCGCCGTGTCCCCCGGTGCCTGCGGCTGGACGCGGGTTATCCGATGGCCTCTGCCAAGCGGCACGTGGCGGTTGCGGTGCAGCGGACGCGGCGTGCTGCGCCGAGTGTTCCGTGACGTGGCGCTGCAGGCGTGGGGGGGCGCGGGTCGGCCGTGCGTGTCACAGCGGCGGCGGCGTGTTGGTTGCTTGGTCCCCGGTGCCTCCCAAGTGCCGACGAGGATGTCGCCAATGTCGCCGTTCGTGTCGTCGCCGTTCACGTCGGTGGCTGTTGGCTGCCGGGCGCTTGATTGCTCGTGTGTTGCTTGCAAATTGCCTCCGTGTGCTTCTGTGTGCGGCAATGCTCGCAGATGCTCCTTGTAGCGTTGATGTTGGGAGTGAGGAAAATACCCTTCGAAACGTTTACGAAAATTTGGCGATAAAATCAAACCGCACCGTGTCCCTGAAGCTCCCTTGATAAAGTGGCGAGACTTACCTCTTCGGAAACTAATATCTGTGCGTACACACAATGTACTCGGGACAAAGATACCATTTTCCTGTTCAGGTTCAATCGTACCAAATTAAAAGGGTTACTTTATAATAAGTGATATTTTCAATCGTAAATATCGGCTTTTCTGACATCCTCTAAGCTTCTCCGCTTAGTACCCAGACACCACATAACGCAGTCAAGGTTTCTCAACCCTACAAAATATAAAAACGCAACGTGCAATGTCCACCTCAAATATGCCAGTGAAAGTTGGCATCTCAAATATGCCAGTGAAAGTTGGTGGCGGTGAGCGGGAATCGAACTTGGGTCGCCGGGTTCGTAGCGCAGCGTAGCGCTAACCGCTACACTACGGGTCACGTGACAGATTTGACGTCACAGCTCACTTGCCGTGCAAAAAATAAATGCATTATCGAGCTCCCCCCCCCCCCCAAAAAAAACAAAAGTGTATTTGTGTAATGTTTGCACGGTGTACAGTCTGGAAAGTACCCACATGGCAAATTTCCAGTTTGTTGCATGTCGGGAAGTACGCTAAACATTTTGAACAGACACACATATTCACAACTTTGCCTTTTATATATATGGAGAAGATAGGTATAAACGAAAATAACCTTGACCAGCTCTACACAATTGCAGTGATTGCATGATTGATACAAAAGAGGGGAATGGCGTTTCAAATAACTTCCTGTGACAACGACCAAGTTCTGTAGATTGTAAACAGTACACCAATGTGCTTCAAGACAACCAAGTGTCTGCAGGTGTGACATTTTTCTGCAACCAAAATCTCAAGTGCAGAAGCTGCATTATCCTCTTGAGAACGCTCCAAACTTCCCCCTCTACTTGGCCACTGATCTTCAAGTATAACACGGCAAAGCCGGCCGCGTACAGAAAGTCAATGCCTGTTTCATCACGCCGTGCACACCCCCAGCCCTTGCGTTAAAAACGTCACCCCCCCCCCCCACACACCCGAGGGCTCACCACCACCAGCTGTCGAGAGAGCGCGGCTCTGATATGCTCAATATTGGTCTTACCTTGCTTGAGGCCAGGGTTGGTGAAGTCCCAGGTCTCAGAGTCATTTTTAAACACATTCAGACGCGTCGCCTGTAAAGAGGACACAGCAGGGGGAAAAGATAAACATTATTCGTGGCCAGCATATAGGGCATAGATGCTGGGAAAAAATTATATAACTTTAGAACCTTCTTTGGTTCTTTCGGTAAAGTCACCACGTAGAATGAGGATAAAATAATAAAATAAAACAATAAAATTCTCACGACGTTTCGGCCACAACACAAGTGGCCTTCTTCAGGTGAAAGGAACAAACCTGTCGTCCCGACCTTGTGTTGTGGCCGAAACGTCGCGATAATTTTATTGTTTTATTTTATTATTTTATTCTCATTCTACGTGGTGACTTTACCGAAAGAACCAAAGAAGATGAATCCTTGCAGTCACGAAAGCTTTAAATCGAAACTTTAGAACCATTTAAAATTTACAAGCTTAATAATTATTAAGCGGTCATTACCCCTGAGACAATTACGGCACGCAACTTGCGGTAAAGCCGAGGTACTTAACGCAACCCTTAACTTCCTGGGAGATGAATGAATAAGAGCTGCCACACGTAGCAAGTCAACGATAAGCTAAACTTTCGCACCGTACGTAGCAAAAGCGTGCTTATCGGAGTTGTGGGAAAACAGTGGCCTTCTGCCACCAGTTTTTTTTTTTAAGATCACGTGTTGATTATCCCTCTTCGTTGGAACAAGCTCCCTTCGTGTTTGCAGATAAAAATCGCTATCCCTCGGTGGCCTATTTAAATTCCAAACTTGTTTAATCGCACATAAGTTTGGCATGCTCTGCCTAACTCGGTATTATTTATTTGCAGTGTTCCTCGTGTACTGTAAAGCGTTAGCCTTGATCGTATACCTCAAAAATGTTGAAGTGCCATAACCCCGTTATGAAAATGATGCATTCGTTATTACTGTTCTGTAATTTTATTTCCTGCTAACAATGTAACATCTCCCCTCAGGTACTCTGCAGGTCTCGCAAAGCAGCCTATGGCTGAATGTTAATCACCCGTCACCAAATAAAATCGAATTGAAAACCAACTCTACCCTTCCCACTGGATGCGAATTTTCCATTAACTGGCTCAGGGCACTGGCTCAGATAAGAACCACCCTCACACGGTAATATCAATTGGGAAAAGTTTGACTTTAGACAATGGCAAGGATGCCCGTCATGCACAATGGGTTGTTGTAGGTTGTGGGGCTGTGTGGTGGGCAGCTGTAAAATCCATTGGGTGCATTGTATTTCTATGCTGCCACAATATATGCTACACTCCTTTACCCCGCACACAAGTCAAATAACCCCCACAACAGGCATCGAGTGCGGAAGCCCTCATCTAGCAATGAATTGCCGTGTGTATTCAGCATTATTTGCTCACCAAAGTGGTCAATTCAGAATATTAAATGAAATCTTTGGTCTGCGGGTGAAAAAACCCAGGTTGTGGTGCACACACTTGTGAATGTACAAAGTATCGGTTGTACTTGCCCTTGCATAGTCCACTATAAGAGTACAGCAGCCCGAATAGATGTCCGCTCCATTCAGAGATGAGTTCGCTCTCTCGGCGCTCTCAACCGAAACAAACGTGGCCAAAAATTAAGGAAAACACGACCATTTCATTTTAAAAACAATACATTTAGCATCTCCAAAATAACACGTAAAATTACGTGAATGGCGGACATATCGTTACGGTTATGCATTTCGTTGAAAGGATATTCCACAAAGGCCTGCAGGCCATTCTTCCTGAAGATAACAATGCGTTGCAGAGGCCCAAATGGTTTGCAAATGTTGTAAAGCACATCCTGCAGGACCACATGGAGCACACAAATGCAGCGAGGTGATTTTGCACGCATTACCAAGTAAATTTGAAAAGCTTTTTTTCCAGTGAATTTTTAATATCGAGCCATACAGGACATCAACGCTTTCCAAAATCAACATTAGGTCTATATATTGTTTTTTATTCAATGCCATTGGTAGACTTCAAAGCACAAACAAAAAACACGACTTCAATTGCCTCAAATGAACCAAAGGATCAATGTAATTTCCTTAGCAAAGCCATTCACTGTAATCCAAAACGGACATAATTTCACTCGTATAAATGAAACATGCGCGTGTGTGCGTGGCACACCCGACAAACTATTCACACATTAATGTCCAGCTGCTGTAAGTGTAACAATGTCCACCGTGGTGATGGGGTAGATGGGGTTGAGAATGGTGAAGAGCAGGATGTGGTTGCTGTTGCCGTTGTCCCCCGGGACGCCAGGGCGCCAAAGCTTCTGGCTGGTAGAGAAGTTAAAGTAGGCCGGCTGCCCGCACACGTAGACGGAGCCCTTGGACGAGTAGTCGACGCAGCTGCGGGAGCTCTCCGGGTCTTCAAACTCCACCAGCGCCTGCCGCGTCTTGGGTATCATCACCACGAAGCTGCACGGAGGGAGCGATTCAAACGAGTGCCGTTATTCAAAGATGTGGCCGACTTTAAAACGCATGCCTGTTGTTAATGTTAAACACGAGGTTGGTCTGCTCCAAGTCACCTCATTTGATCTCAAGAAATGTTTCAATGCATGCAACGGAGTGGAGACTGGTTGGATGCAGGTTAGATGCTACGTCCCATTTCAGTTTGGCAGTGTAGTACGTTGGAATTGAATGTACTGTAAGAATATAATTATATTTAAAATACATCTTGAGGGTAATGTAGTCTTCTTCTGTCGATGTATCACCTGACAAACGAAGCCTCTTCAAACGTACATAAACAAGGTACGTGTGTGCACCATTTCAATACGAGATATTAATTTTTAACACGGTTACTAATCACAGTTGAACGTGTGCCGCTTTTGTCAGACGGCACAACAAAAGCAGCAGCGGCACTTTAATTCGGAGGGAATTCGTGACTTGGGGAAATTGAAAAACAAACGGTTTTTGTTTCGATTTAAAGCTTTCGTGACTGCAAGGATTCATCTTCTTTGGTTCTTCCGGTATAGTCGCGTAAAATGAGAATAAAATAATAAATTAATAAAATAACACAATAAAATTCTCACGACGTTTCGGCCACAACACAAGTGGCCTTCATCAGGTGAAGGGACGAGACTGTCCTATTTCAGTTTGGCAGTCTCGTCCCTTCACCTGATGAAGGCCGCTTGTGTTGTGGCCCGAAACGTCGTGAGAATTTTATCGTGTTATTTTAATTTTGATCGATTTATTATTTTATTCTCATTCTACGCCGTGGTGACTTTACCGAAAGAACCCCAAAGAAGATGAAGCGGTTTTTGGTTGGTCACTTCAGGCTGTAAAGGCCCCGAGTAAGCCACGCACGGCGTCGCCGATCACGCCGTGACGTGGGCAACGCCGCGCCCTCTCGTCCACCGCCACACGCGGCCACGACTTTTTATTTACGGAAGTGGTTCTTGAGCTTTAACCTGCAGCCTTGCCACCCCCCCTTTGGTTCTCAATATTTTTTTTTTTAAATGTACAATGTTTATTAATTTAGAGGTTTGATGGAACAAAGTAGCGGTGCTTACGTGCCCGTGCTCAATGTGTTTCGATGATTTACCTTGTAAAAAATAATCTGGCATGTCTTGCACCCCCAGGAAGGGCATCTCCCACCCCGTGCTTAAGAACCATCGAGTATTTTCGTGTTATGCAATTTCTTGAGTTGTTGAACCGAAAATTGGTAATACTCGAATTTCCAAGGTCTACGTTCACTCCACGTCCGCAAACACCACCACCACAACAATAATAACAATAACAACAATAATAACAACAACAATAATAATAACAATAATAACACCAATAATAATAACTATAATAACAATCATCTTTGTTTTTTTCGGTAAAGTCACGTATAAATAAGAAATAATAAAATAACATAATAGCGTACGACGTTTCGGTTACAACACAAGCAGCCATCATCAGGTAAAGAAGAGCTAAATTTACGAGAGAGGGGAAACATAACCTCAGATGTATATACAGACACCCAAGTAGGGGGAACTAACACCGACACAATAGGGGACACAGAGAGAGAAGCATACCAAACAGACAAGAGTTTAGCAGAATTTGGAAACCATATGAAGCAACACAGACGGTCGGTCAAAACACAATTAACGCAAAGCCTGGTTGATTACGTTATTTCAAAGATTGCTAAATTGCAAGTTAAGTATGAAATTTAAGATACAGACGGCACACACACACAGACATTCAAGTAGAGCGGACCAGCATAGGTACAAGCACACAATGAAGTCGTCTTAAATAGGCAGAGAAGGCAAGGCTGAGAGACAATGGGACATATTTGCATGAGAAGGCAAGGCTGAGAGACAATGGGACATTTTAGCATGAGGTATGCATAGAGCAAAGTGGAGCACGGCAGCAAACATTCGGAAGCACCAAGACCTACCCACAGGCAGAGACAGCACAGATAAACAAATCCAAGCACAGACACAAAGGCAGATACACAAGCAGAGACAACACACAGACAACACAAGACAACACAAAGACAGAGACAAAGATACAGACCTTATACCTCCCCGTAGAGGCGGTTTAAACTTGGTTCGAAGCTTTCGTGACTGCAGGAATAAATCTTTGTTTTTTTCGGTAAACAACAATAATAACAATAATAATACAGCTTCCTTCCCCATGCGGGCAACGGTCACCACCGACTGGTCACCTGACTAGGCCAAAGTGCCGCACGGCCTCCACGAGGTCCGACTCGAGGGCTGTGTCCGAGAGTCCCCGCACGTGAACCACAGCCGACGGTGGGGGCTTGTGTGGGTCCTCAAACGTGTCCTGTGCACGTCGGCAAGGAAGCAAACTCAACACGACTATTGTGCAAAGCTGTTGTTTCCTCCTATACCGAGAAGACAGTTTTCAGTTTCATTTATTTGGTATAGCCCTGTGAGCCATTCGGCTCTTGAATCAGGTGCAACCGCAACAAACAAAAAAACAAAAACACGACCAAGAAAAACATCTTAAAGTGACTACGTGTGACTGTGCAAACAGAAAATCCAGTAAAAAAAAAAACATCAAAATATTCCTGAAATAGCACCGTACACCAACGTTGTGTGCAAAAATCCCAGTGGGATGCAAGTCAAATAACAACAACCACAAGACAACTAAGATTAAGGACATCAGTCTAACTCCGTACTACAACAAAACATGGCCAAACCATAAAACTTTTTCAAAATCACCAAAATAAAGCCATAAATGCAATGTAACAGTGATCACGGGGACTGTGACCGAATGTTTAACAATAAACCACATAAACAACATGTAACACCAAACCCTAGAGCCACAGCTGGCTGCATGAGTCACTCCACAACAACAGGAGCATCAGCCGGAGTATCACATTTTTCAATGCACCTTTAAGATCAGCACGCTAAATAAAAACACAGATCATACTTTGCAGCGGTCATCCGGAGCAAAACATTTCAGACAGACATGGTAAAGTGGTGCAGTGCTTTCAACGCGCGTTCCACTATGAACCGGGAGATACAAGTTCGTTTGCGGAAGCCACGGCTGACATCGCCGGCAAGTGATATCGGAGCAGATGCAGACACTTGCATTAAAGGGCTTTTTAAATCTCCATCCGTTTGGCAAAAAAGTGGCCATAGCTCAGTGCCATCATTTCAGTAATCGCTAAGAACGTTCGCGAGTTTAACTTTAAATCTAAACGGCCCTCGAGTTATAAACTCTGGAACTCGCATCCCCCACCGCCAGGTGCGCTTTTGTAGACGCTGTAAAGTTTTATTATTCCACAAAGTGTTTAAACATATTGGGGAGGGTCGAAGAGCTACCCTACGACGCCATCGCGTGGGACATTTAACACATTGGTATTTTAACTTCATTAGTATTTTAACCTTTGATTTAAAGCTTTCGTGACTGCAGGGATTCATATTCTTGGTTCTTTCGGTAAAGTCACCACGTAGAAGGGAAACAATAAAATAATAAAAATATAAACACAATACAATTCTCACGACGTTTCGACTGCAACACGAGCAATCATCATCAGGTGTGAAAACCACAGCAAGAAATTTTGAAAAAAAGTGGCGTTTTTTTATTTTTTTAACGTCAGCACCACGGAGAGCGATTTGGCAGTTATTCAGATGGACGAGTCCATCTATTTTGATTTAAAGCTTTTGTGACTGCAGTAATTCATATTCTTAGTTTTTTCGGTAAAGTCACGTTGAAGAGAAACAACAAAATAATAAAATATATATAAAACAATAAAAAATTCTCACGACGTTTCGACCATAACTCAAATGGTCGTTATGGTCGAAACGTCGTGAGAATTTTGTTTGTTTTATATATTTATTATTTTGTTGTTTCTCTTCAACGTGACTTTACCGAAAAAACTAAGAATATGAGTCCATCTATGTTCGGAAAAGAGGGGGGAGAGGAAAATAATGGATGCGGTCTGAAAGTCACCATATGCGTGAACAATCAATTAAGACCCGAAATGATTTATCAAATCCTTCCAATGATTTCTAAGCCAGAATCCATCTTCTCGGTTGAAATTGTCTCTGTGCTTGTTGTATATGTGGATAGCCTCATGAACGAATCTCTCCTGGTAGGCAATGTTTTTTTATTTTTCGCTCTTTCGGTAAAGTCACGTTGAAGGGAAACAATAAAATAATAAAATATATAAAACAATAGTGATAATTTTTATTGTTTTATATATATTTTATTACTTTATTGTTTCCCTTCAACGTGACTTTACCGAAAGAGCTAAGAATATGAATTACTGCAATCACGAATGTTTTTATTGTTTTATATTTTTTTATTATTTTAGTATTTTAACGTTCAGTGCAAAGAGAATACACACCCTTAGAAGAGAAAACGCCGTCTAAAAAAATTACACTGGAAATAGCCCAAAGTGTTAACGAACACGAAATCCACGTTTACCAAAACGCGTTTTACTGAACGTAAGCAGAGCCTAGCGATGCTGTGGTCCGCGTGGTCCATCCCCAACACCAACAACGAGAAGCTCTTCGCAACGGCACTGGAATGTGCGAGTTACAAAGCTAAACAATCACGTTAAATAATATAAACACGGCTGGTGGTGGTGGTGGCACGTCGCCTGAGTGAAGCCTCTGGCCCAGGCCTCACAACGAGGCTCTGGGCGAGGAGGAGTAAAAGAAACATCTTCTCGTTATAAAAACACCTCGTCAAGTCGCTCAGTCACTGACGCTCACCATCGCGCCCGCCTGGACGCGGTCGTTGCCTTCGCCATTGACTCCCAGGCGCTTGGCCGCGTGCCGGGGGGAGGAGGCGGCGGCAGTGGTCGACATCGTCGTGGTGGCGTAGGAGCGCCGGAGGGAATCGATTTCGCGATCCTGTCGCTCGAAAACCGACGCCCGCGCGGATCGCCGAGCGTCAGGCAGCAGCGGGGCGGCGGCGGGGCGATTCCAACGCGTGACATCGATTCTCGGATCGATGTGTCCTCTGGCGATGTTCGCGCGGCTTGGTGTGACCCCACAGCCACTCGTCACGTGACGCCTCTCTCGGCCGACTGGGGCCGGCGACGGAGATCTGAAGCAGTCGTGGGCCTCCCCCTAGGTCGGACTCAGACTACAATTAAATTTGATTATATTTTTATAATATTAAATAAATAATAATAAAATGATAAAAATACTCAAATTTGATTATTGTAAAATCATTATAAATAAATAAAAATAAATTAAAAATAATCAAATTTGATTACTTTTAAATAAGAATAAATAAAAACCAAATTTGATTATTTTAAAAATAAGATTAAATAAGTAAAAATTTATAAATTAAAATAATAAAATTTGATTATTTTTTTAAATAATAAATGAATATCCATTATAAGTTAAAATAATCAAATTGGATTATTTTAAATAATAAATAATAAAATAATTGCCCAATTTCGATCACTTTAACATAATAAATCAAGGCAGAAATATTTAATTAATAATTTCGCCTTTCTTTATAACCAAATTTTATTATTTTATAATAATAATTAATAAAACTTACAAATAATCACATTTGATTATTTTAAATAATAAATAAATTTTCCTTTAGTATGTAACTAATCAAATTTGATTATTTTTAAATAAGAATAAATATATAAAAATAATCAAATCTGATTATTATATGAATTAAAAAAGAGGGATGACATTGTCATCCTCTCAGCCGACAAGGTCAATGCCACTGTCATCGTGGATAAAATACAATATAACAACAAAATTCAAGAATTACTCAACGATGGTAGCTATACAAAAATAAAAAGAGATCCCACCAACAGCCTCGTCATACAATCCAACAAAATCATTTCTGATTCAACCACATTAATTGATCAAACCAAACAGTTCTCGTTGAAACCTTCTGCTACATGAAGTAGATACACCCCTTCGTCTCATCGTCTCTACTGCAGTGAGGGAAAAAAGTATTTGATCCCCTGCTGATTTTGTACGTTTGCCCACTGACTCAACACTGCCCATAGACTCAACACTGCACCATAGACTCAATACGTCACCATAGACTCAACACTACACCATAGACTCAACACTGCACCATAGACTCAACACTGCACCATAGACTCAACACGTCACCATAGACTCAACACTGCACCAAAGACTCAACACTGCACCATAGACTCAACACTGCTACCCATAGACTCAACACTGCCCGTAGACTCAACACTGCACCATAGACTCAACACTGCCCGTAGACTCAACACTGCACCATAGACTCAACACTGCAACATAGACTCAACACTGCCCATAGACTCAACACTGCCCACAGACTCAACACTGCCCATAGACTCAACACTGCCCACTGACTCAACACTGCCCATAGACTCAACACTGCACCATAGACTCAACACTGCACCATAGACTCAACACTACCCATAGACTCAGCACTGCACCATAGACTCAACACTGCACCATAGACTCAACACTGCACCATAGACTCAACACTGCACCATAGACTGAACACTGTCCATAGACTCAACAATGCACCATAGACTCAACACTGCACCATAGACTCAACACTACCCATAGACTCAACACTGCACCATAG